TAGTTGTTTACCAGTATCACTAGTGTTCAAAAAGCAAAGCAATCATTCAGATAATTGTGATTACAGCGACCATTCAGAAGATTCCGAGCAATTTATTACCAGCTTCGTTGATATCCAACGAATGGAAGTACTGTCGCCATAGTTCCACGAACGTCGGGTAATCGATGGCATTGGATTGGGAACCGTCAGGGCCCTATAACGAAAAAAATCTTTAAAAAAAAATCGAAAAATACCGTATAGTATCTGGGAGATGACAGACCACAGCAAATTTGTCGAAACACTCAATGGCTTCTTCTCGAGATATACCGAAATAACCAAGAACTTCGATATATTCGGACAGGTCGACGAGTTTATCGCCTAGAACAACTTCTTTTTTCTGCTTTCAAGATGCTCTGCAGATTCCATACCAGAAGCGTCTAATAGACGGAACATGTATTCGAGATAGGCCTTTTGCCATGATGGCTCTCTTTCGTCCTTCAATGACTCGGCCCACATTCCAATCCAATCTAGTAGCGTGATCTGTAAAAGTATGTACTTGTCAGCAAAGGCTGATGAAGTACATCGCCGTTCAGGTTTCGAGAGTGCATGGAGAATGGTCAAAGTACAAAACCGATCGAGAATACCTACCGACAGAGTCGCCCCTTCCTCCCCATGGTTCTCTCCTCTCAGGAAATTCACTTAAAAAGGGAATCTAAAAGGAACGAATCAGAATCGATACCCGACTTGTTGGTTTGTAGGGCATTTTCAAAACACCTTTCAAAGGTATTTGTTATTCTTACACTTAGTTTCTGCGAGAATCAACAAGAGCTCTGAGGATGTAGGCGTTCACGGATTCCTCAAAGTAACAACTGAATGATGGCTTAATAAGGATCAGGAAAGTTTTACTCGAAGAGGGAGCCAATCTGATCCAACTAAGCCACAGTAAAACCAGGTGCAGGAGTTTTTGATAAATTGGAACTTCAGCTGTGGATATGAGTTTAAGCAACCCACTTGATCCTTGACATCTTTCTTCATGGCTTCTGTCATGGATTTCCATACTTTGGTCAGGCTAGCTAAGGCGACTTTATGGTCTTCTCCACCTTCCCCACGCACCAATCCGATAGCATCAATAAGCCGCTGGAAGTCCTGCCATTCGATAACGTTGTTACCTATCAGATCTGTAAATGGGTAGTTCCTGATATCAGAGGTAGGACGTAGAAGGGGAGAGAAACTTATTACCGAAGAATGTGTAGAAAGCATAGGTCCATTTCCGGACGAGAAATGCATTGATGTTTGGGAACATTTCGATCACATCCTCAAGTTTCATATCTTTCACCGATACTCGCCCTAAACATCAGAATTACAGGATTTTAGCAAATTTCGGGATGTGACTCCTCAACTGCCCATAAAACTTACCTCCGCTGTATTACTAGCAAAGCTATATGCTACCTTACACCAATGGAGTCGGGATAGGCAGCTGGCTCCCTTCATCTAGATGGTTCAATCGGTATGGGTAAACAGATACTGCTCCCCGTTGAGCCTACAAGTTACCAGGTCTGATCACCGAAGTTTTTTTAAAGGAACCTTGATTATCTGGAAAGCTTGTCCTTGATTCTTCAACATGTGGAGAGCAGCGCTGGGCATGAGCCAGTGATGTGGCGGCCTTTCTGATGTAGTGCTGCGAGGGAGATAGGCGTGGGAATTCGGACAACTTTGTTGACTTCACACCATCTGAGCCTTTATGGGAGTGAAGACTTCAGGGAAAGATGAGTTTACGTCAGTCAGAAACATTCTGGAATTCAATTGAAGGGCTGGCTCTACATGGAGCTCCATGCTTCTTGCATTACCGTGAAGCACACTGTCTCACATCACAGAAAAGCAGCTGCTATGCAAAAAAACGCACATTTAAAGTCAATTTATATCAGTCCTCATAAGGCCATCTACATTCCAACTCAACATTCTGCCCAAAAGTCTTCTGACGATCGTCCTCCTATGTTGAAGGGTAAGCAAGAAATTCGAAAAAGTTTTAGTCAGATGTTTTCGAATATTCTGAATGTGATTGTGTAGAGTCGATTACACTTCGAATATGCAACCCTCCTTTCATATTGTTCAATTTTCATGATATATGCATTTTTTGCATCCAAACTTGACAATTTGAAAAGCGATCCGCATATACGAAGCCGTCACCAAAGCTCTACAGAAATAAATAATTGTTGTAGTGAAAATGTCGAAGTTAAATTTTTCTTGATCTAGACTTTCTCGAACTATAAATGCGTTGATCTATCCCGTCGATGCCGTCGGTCCCTCATTTTAGCGACGCCGGCTTTCTTTCTCTGCACCCTCCTCATTGCCATTATGTCTGATTTATTTGCCAGTCCCCCGATTTCGACGAGACCTTTTCTTTTTTCCTACCCATCGATGGTGGAGATCAAAATGCCTTATCTTCCATGCCACAATCCCAAGATCTGAAGATCAAGTGCAAAAAATTTTGGTAATCTAGTAAATGACCCTCACTCCTATGAATGGGACTCCTGGAGCCGATCTCAGCAGTGTAGGTTTTACTTACAAAAACTTGATCGAAACGAGTTTAGGAAATGGTTCCTCTAAAAATGAGGAACAGGAGCAAAGAGAACGAGCTGCATATTTGGAATCATCAAGAGGGACTTGGTAGAGCTGTATGCAAGTGAGTGGGATCTTCTTACGAAACTCTCCTCGGGTTTTTATTGCCAACCCTTGGACTTTTACGATGCGGCTGTCTGTTTTTTCACCTTCATTGAGGTGATATCAAAACAGGCTCGTCTTTGAGAAAGTGGGATGAGGAAATCCTCTCCAAACAGTCGGACGATTAAAAAATAAGGTTCTTCAGAGCCAATGGGTGAATCATAGACTCTGTCACCCAAACTAGCGCACGTTCCAAATAGGGCCTCACAACGTCTTTACCGACTTTCCCCCTTTTCAGCTCAATATCGTTCTCCAGAGGAAGCGACTATACTTGGCGTATTGGAGTAATGTAAATGGGTAGAAGTTGGCCACAACCATGTCTTTAGATCTTTTTGTTGCTCCCTAGTCACTTACCCAGTAGTGTGGATAGGTGCATATTTCGTCAACTTGGGAACATAAAAGCTAGATTAATATCCTCCCGTATCGAAAAAACATGGCTATCTACTTATAAATATATTTAGTTTCCGTTTCATTTGGTGAAAAGTCTACCAGCAGAAATAACCAGCCGCTTCGCGAAGTTTCCGAAAAAGGCTTGTGAAAGGGATAAACGAGGAATGTAGGCTCTTCAGCTTACAACCCAGAACTCACTGCATGAAAGTAAATCCTACTGAATTTTCTTCCACCAAGTCACAGAAGAAATTTTTAAATGAGTTATAAGTTTGTAGGTACCTGGAATGGGTCTGAGTGGTATCGGAGCTATGAGGTAGGTAGTAGCTGCCATTGATTGTAATGAATGGATTGTCCACAAGTGATGATGTTCCTGATGTTTGGAAATATCGACTGCTTGATGAATTTAAGGCGTTTATTATTAGTATGTCTGTCTGTTTGCTGTCTGTCTGTCTGTCTGTCTGTCTGTCTGTCTGTATTTCAGTCAGTTTGCCTCCCTATCTACATGCTAATCTTGCGAACAGAATCAGAGGAGATAAGTCCGACACGAAACGATTGACGAGGAGACGGTGAGAAATCAAAAAATACTTCGAGCTCTACACCAGATGTTTTCCCGATCATCTATTTTTTCAAGAGTAGGATCTATCGCGTCAAAAGACAGACTAATCATAAAATATATGAGCAGTTGCAGCACTTGGTGGTCCACTGTAATATTAGAACTTGTCAGTGCTGAGATGGACTGATCAACTGCTTAAATTCCTGACGAATTTGAATAACAACAAAAATTTGAAAAGTTAGTCGAGGACCAAGTGGTAAAGGTGGGAACGTTGGTCTGATTGGCACCTTCATTGAGCTAATTCGTCTCTCTTCACATGAGTCGAATCGTTCGTCAAATGTTTTCTCTTCGAAGAGAGTTAGCCAACCAGAGGGCAAAAGGTCCTAACTCAAAAAAGATCTCATTTTTCGGGAGAAAAAATTGATTTGTAGTGCACTATTCAATAGATTCATTGCCCTTCTGATGGTATGCTGAACTTTACTGCTATCGGTTGATGTTATCGACTTCATAGACTGTCAGTGCCTTTGTGATTTCCCCAAATCTTTTTAGCCTAGGAGTGGGGCTTACGAACACTTCATTATGGCTGCACTCATCTTCATCCAACATTTTTATAAATAATGGTAAAGGATAAAGTTTCGAGGTGCTGATCAATCCCGTCTGAGGGATGCGCCCACGCATTCAACTTATATTCAGAATCGTAGTGGCATATTGAATGCGTATGTGGCCTGTACAAGGACTTGCGGGGCCCCAATGTACAAGTCAGTGCTTTTCTCCTCCCTGGTACCAACTAATCGACCCCGGAGGGATGGAAGACTTGGCTGGCCTAGGCGAATATCAAGGTGTCTAGGATTTGAAACCGTGACCATGCGTGTGTGAAGTGCGCCACTTGCCACTACACCGCCTCTGCCCCATTTATAAATAGTTAAGAATATTCAGTGAATTCCTAGGGGTAGTTTGGAGAGCGAAAAAACTTTACTCCGTCCTCTCCCCAATCTAGTATCACAAAATCCAGGGTCTATGGACGATAAACAGAAGGAGACTATTGTCCATTGAATCTCCGCCCACTTCAGCTGCCAAATGTTAGAATAGAGTCTCAGAAGAAAAAAAAATTTAAGTCGCCTAATCTTCCAGCTGTCAGATTCCGATTTCTGGTTTCAATTTCAAATGAGAAACATCTGGATCATTAATGGATTTAATGCAAAACACATGAAGAATTACAGGTTACTGTCATCCGGAAAGATTCATCGAGATTTATCACTGCGAAATCAAAACAGGTTCTTCGAGAAAATTTTTAAAAATGAGAGGTAGCGATATTAAAGATGTGCCTCTGAAAGCCTACAGCTTTCATAATAATATGAACGAACCCGCGGTGCCACTTGTGAGCGGCGTTTTGAGCCACTGAACTACCATCTTCCCAGAAAAAACCATGTCACTAGCGAGCAATCCTAACTATTATTATTATGTATGTTAAAAGACTTGTCAGTGACTCATCTTCTAGTTAATCATTCAGACAACCGCAGAAGATCCCTCGAATATGTGGTCCCGCATAAACTCTCAACTGATCCCACATAAACTTGCTTGGGCCAGCATCAATTCGTGAGGAAGTTTCTTGTCTCTAAAAGGTTTTAGGAGTGATTTTTGGGTAACCAAGGCCATGACCATGTTTATCAGTACCAAAACGATCTATCTCGAGCTACTTCTTAAGCAAGTAGTAACGGTACTACAAGTACAAGGTACGTCACCATTCCGTCACCCATATTTAGCTTTTCGAGTAATTTTAGCCATGGCTTCGCAGTCTCCATCTAGTGAAAAGCTTCCCAGTCATCAATTCAGAAATGGGAGACGCTAGTAACAAGTGACACAACAACCTAATTTACAGTCTTCAGATAACGGCCAGGACCGGACGCCATTGAGTAGTCTCTTCCGGCTCCTCGTGGTAGGTAAAATGGTAAGAGGGTGAGAAGTAAGAAAATGAAAGCATAGGGCTGTCTGCATCCAATAGTCTAGTCCGTCTTATAATTGAGTTAAAAAGCAAACTTCTAAGGCACAATGAAATGAAAGTTCAATAAAAAAAATCTGTGTACCTTCAGCAGCCATTGCTTTGGATTAGAGAATTAGAACTGGATGAAGCAGAAGTTAGGCTTTGGCTTAGGAATGACACGATTTAGGCGGATTTTAAGGCCAGCAAAGGTTACGCAGGAGAAGTGCCTCGGTTGATGGATGAAAAATGGCCAAGACTGATAGGAACAACAATCGGAACCGACAGCAGCTGGCATGAGAGCTAGCATGGAATAAAAACTACATTGTAATTATTGATATTCAGATGTTCGATTGTCATAAAAGCTTTTCACTGGTAAACAATCGAGCCATGACCTACGCAACCAGGCTTGCTTCTCTTTCGTCATTGTAAATTGTACTTGTTTTCTAAATGGAGGAATAACTGAAATTTCGAAATTTCCACGAGCTTCTGAAGTGAGAGGGGAAATAGTTCTTAAACCTTCCATGGAGTTGTTCTAAACCATGTAGCGCTATATCACCAATCCGTTCTCCGATTCCAGTTCTACTCTCAGAATTTTTGCTCACAGTCATAAAGAGGCGAACTGCTCCTTTTTCAAAGTCTCGTAGCCCACTACGTTTGAAGTGCTTTATTCCTATAGGCGAAAAGGAATATGGAATCCCATGAGCCTAGAATTCGTTTTAAGTAACCAACGGAGAGGTAAGATATATTTAAAAAGATCCACAGAACAGATCCCAGAGCCGAAAGAAACCTTTTGAAGTGTATTTCAACTGACATTCCTAGGGCACATTGTGGGAGCGCTCCCATTGTTTAACCAGGAAATGAATATGTTGTCATGAAGACTCGAAGAAAAAAACTACTGTCAAGCAGTTCGAGAATGTTTCAGAAGTTTAAGGAGGTGAAAAACCTTGGAATAGTCCTGAACAATATGATACATCATCGAGGTTCAGAGACAGGGGGAGTGGGAAGTGAGAAACACGGGAACCGCTATGAAGCAAACCGACAGAGATAGAAAAACGGTAGCGGAAATCAGATTAGTCGTTAAATCAAACCAAATCTCAGATAAGGGACTAGGTTTTCGAAGAGGAGTAAAACACCGGAAGCCACCTGGAGTAAAGGGAAACATCCATCTTAGGGATACTTTTAGGTGTTTTCAGTAGGGTAGGGAAAATCCTTGAATTCTACAGTGTTAGGAATGAAATTTACATCTCAGGACATACTATCAGTAAAGAAATCTGTCTAGACAACATGAAATCACCACTCCAGACTGATGGGTTAGACTATGTGACAGAAGGAGAACGCGGTGGTTGCACTATGGTGAGTTTTATAGGTACATCCGTTGAAAAACATTTGCCAAACATCAGTCAGACAATTCTGCGATTTGATAAACAGCGACATCAGTACTAATGATCTTACTTCCGTTCGTCTAGCGGAGGAGCCATTCTTTGGATTGTTCGTAGTCATAGCGATCACATTACAATGGACAGGATGGATGTAGAAGATATCTATTATAATTGTCATCTTCCTGAGTACCCGATAATGGTGGAAATGTGGAGATTAAGGCTCTTAATGATGGAAAACATTACGTAATATGGAGAAACAATACATACAGCTACATTGAAATCCATTAGTCATTATATTGACTGATTAATGCCCCATTAAGTTGAAATTCCTTCGACAACCCCATAGCATCAACAATCTCTTACTTTTCGGATGAAAGGGAAAACTGAATGCTCCTCACGCCGTACTTGGCTTTCTTTTTTAAAGGCACAGTTCACGATAAAAAAGGTTACTGAGTTCTTACCCTATCAATAATCAGTGGCTCCCGTGGGTAGTAGAGGGGACCTTCTCGCTCCCAAAATCTCGACCATTAGGGCATAGTGGAAGCCCTGTTGCTGGCTTGAGTGACTTTCCCGCCTCTCGATCGTTGTTACCTCAGATGAGTGTCGAGGCGAAACAGATTGGGAATATTCGTTATAGGACCCACACATAATCAGCTGATCGCCAAGTGATGAGGCGATGTTTTTCTCCCATTCCTTTTTCCTCCGTTATTCTTCTTGCTGCAGCGACCCCTTTTTTAATTTCTTACTCCTAGAGGCTGAAAAAGATGAGTTACTTTTGCTGTCACTAGGGTCTTTTTGTTTACTTATGCTTACAAGTGGATCAATTTTAGCATACCGTAGTCAGATATCTGCACCAGGACCCACACGTATGCAATGAAGCGCTGTGCCTAGCTCGTCCAAACGCCTCACTTTTCCCTATTTTTCTGGTCTCATTCTCGTCCAGCCCCCTGTTTAACNGTTTTTCGAAGCATTTTTTCACTTAAAACATCGATCCACGCAGTTCCTTCGCCTCCATCGCACTATTTTCCATCTTATCTTCCATTTTTCGTCATAATCTGGATTACCCAAAATTATCGTGAACTGTGCCTTTAACGGCTTCCGATTCCCAGGAGCTGCGCCTCATACTGCTGCGTCGCCCGGGTTTGTTATTGTACTTGTCTTGACTTTGATTGTTCGACGAGCACAGGTAAACCCTTCTCATCAAGGACCTGAAGGTAGTTTGAAGTTACAATACTGTAACTTACCCGATCAAGCGCCCAAACCCACCAGGTAAACTGCAAAAAACGCGGCTGAATCCGAAACGAAAAAGTAGTGAAGTAACAAATTTTTGGATTCCAAGGGAATTATCGAAATTCTATATTGATTGATCTCGTTAAATGGCAACCCAAAACAGCCATACGTAGGCCATATGGAGAGTGAATGGCACTCTACACCCCTTTCTTAGCGTCGGGTTGTCCCAACACCTAGCACTGTTCAGTTTGGCGTTGTCAAGTTGACCCCTCATGTTAACCACTGATCGAGGAAGCAAAATTTTTGCTCTAACGAATAAGAAGTTTGATCGCAAATGAGCTTTGCACCCAAAAGTTTGTAATAAAAAGAAAAATACGGCTATTGAGCAAAATCACACAAGCTCTGAGGTTGAATAAAATGTCTTTTTTATTGGTGTTGATGACTGCAAGCCAACGTCATTCGCATCAATTGCATGTCGAATTCATGGCCCATCCCGACGTACGTCATTGTAACATGATCTATCATCATTGAATGATGAGAAAACGAGTCTATAAATCAACTATTATTCTCTACAAACAAACAAACAACAGAGCTCACACACTCAGGTAGACATGATTACTGTAACAGGTAACTTATGTTTTAGAAGAATATAATGGGATTATCAAATAAGCACGATCGACGGGAACAAGAACATAGCAGGACAAAGCTAAGATTAGTGCAGGATAAGCATTAAGGATGAAATCAAAAAGATGGTAAGCACCGGTCCTGATGTGGCACTGCCACCTCCGTCGACTTCATCGATCCAGTCGGCGATGAACAAATTCATAGAAGCTCCTTTTGTACGGTTACGACTTGAGCCCCATACCAATTTTGTTCCGGCACGGTTAAACATCGGGAACGAGTTGAACTGATACCCTTCACCAAAAGTTATCTGCAAAAGTAGAATTTTTTCAAGATAGCACTGCATGAATGTTCGACAGTAGAAGGCCCGTATGGCTAATATTAAACGCCCCACCCAACTCCATAGATTGTGGACCATCAGCACTATGGGTGTTGGACCCCTTTGAAGGACATATTTCCAACTTTGATTCAATTCTATGGATGGTCGGATGTGATCTAATCTTCGAGAAGCCCGCCAAAATCGAACGGGCCTCGTGACGAGCGCTCTAGCAACATACGGTCTAGGCACTCTCGGGCCAAAAGGTTTTGTAATGAGCCGTTCCAACGTCATCGACATTACCCACATTACTCCTCAAATCCACGTGGATTCATGGCTCACGAGAGGGATGACACGGAGGAAGACCCCAAATGAGTATCGTAAGGGCCGTTTTGATCGGACAACAGTCAAGAATGCGTTATCCCGGAGATTCTGGCATCTTTATTCCCCGAACGGCGCGTCGCGCTCGCCACACGCGATCGCGCGCTATGGAGGGAAAGATTTGAATTCCCAATGGAAGGATACGGAGAGTCGCCGTGGAACCACTGCCGCACGCCGTGGAATTCGGGGAAAAGTCCCGTTACCCTCTCCCGTTTTGTAATGTTGTCATTTTGTAACTACATTTTATAAATCTTATGCTTAAGCACCTTTTATTACATGCATTAACTCATATTGAATTTGTAGGATAATGAAAAAATGGCATGGTGACTATTCTTATGTTGTCGAGATATTCGATATGATAATACTTTCTTTTGAATTACTGGCTTTGGTAGAGGATTTGAACAAAGCTTATCCAAAATAGGACGCTCACTCGCTCCAGTCCTGTCCCATCATCCCTAATGACATACAGAGCGAAGGAGCCGCGTTCTGTTTCACTCATGTTGTAGTTTGAGCTGTAATAAACAGAGTTATTCCTGGAAAATTCAGATAAGAATACCTTAAATGATTGATTTTCAAGCTATTTCCAGGTCGTAACCTATCTTATTTAGAGAAAACGGATTTTCATCAGCTGTCTACAGGTAGGTATTAGGAATTTCCGATTTCTTATACTCTGAGGTTTTTTCAAAGTAATTTTTGATTCATGAGCGGTTCCTTAAGCCAGCTACTTGCTCCACAATTCGCATAAGTGCATCTTTTTTAGAAACTAAGAGAGAACCCGATAAAATTAGATCTACAGTACCTGAAAATAATCCGTTTGTTGTCAGGCAGAAAGTAGGGTGCCCAACTGGCGACCCCGAAGTTCGTTAACTGCTTCAAGTTAGTGCCATCGACATCTACCACATAGATCTCTGTGTGGGTGGGCTCCACCAAGTGATAGTCAAGCAGTTTCTGCAAAAGCTTGCTTCAAAGGGTGGACATCGCCGAGAGTGGAAAGTGACCGTCTGGTAGACAGACCCCTCTCCCCTTTTGAACTCGAGAGGAAGACCCTAAAAAAGATCTACTGGTGTACCTTATACTTTGCGATCTCTTCTTGAGTTTTCGGCCGGCTTGAACGAAAAACGAGTCGTTTTCCATCAGGCGAGAAGAAGCTTCCACCGTCGTAGCCTAGTTGGTTTGTTACCTCAATCGTCTTTTTAGGCCAACCAGGGCTCCCTTTATTTGCCAGACCGAACTGACCTGTTTGAGATTCGTGCCGTCCGTATTCATTGTCCATAGCTCGAGATCTCCAGAACGGATCGATGTGAATGCGATTTTCTTTCCGTCAGGGCTCAGCACCGCTTCAGCATCGTATCCGGGCTCGTCAGTCAATTGTTTAACGATATTACCGTACTTGTTCACCTAATTATGTAAAAATAGAACGCTGCACAAAACAGAAAAAACGGTGCTTACCATGAAGATATCGAAAGTGGGATAGATGTCCCAGGTGTAGGTGGTGTTACAAAGCTGTCGAAGAACGGGATCTTTGATGGACGTACGATTTGCACACTTTTTCGGTGGGCACGTGTTTGTGATGTCGGCCATGCGGACCGTTCCATTGAGCTGAAATCATATAGGAGCTTTTGGGCGATCAAAGAAGAGCCTTAATTATTGAAATGTGCTTAGACCGCCCAAAAATCTCCAGCATAAAGCCGATGGTTGTTGTCAGGCTCATCGTAGAAGAACGAGCAAGTGGTACCGCCTAGACCAGTGCTCGTCCTCTTCATTATCTGTTTTCTTGGATCAACATTGAGATCGAGCTCGTAAATCTGAATCTTGGGCTCATCACGAGATTTTCATACGAATCCCATGAAAAATCGAAAATTTACTTGATCGCAAGTGGTTCCATAGCCACTGGCTTGAAGAGTGAGTTTGGAGTCATCATAACTGAAATACTGAGCGAAATTAAGGCTCGAATTCTACATTTCAGATACCAAAAGGCAGATATATTTAAATTATGTTTAATTTGCTTGTTGCTTTGTTTGTTTATGAGCGCAGAATCCCCCCATTGCCTTGAATTGGATCAGGAATATTTGTGTTTGCTCACATGATTAGAGCTACTCAAATCTTCTCTAAACGGAAACATTTAATGGGCCGAGTCCGTACTCAGAAGGCGTCCATTATAAGGAAAATTCTATATAAAGACCGCTTTCGATATCGTTGCCTCCGGAGGTGGTAGTACAGTGTTTTGTAGGTAACCTATTCAGAAACGATTCAAATTAGCATAAGGAGTTCTACAGAAAGGTGTATAGGCCGCTCGAAACCCCATAGAAACTTTTCTCACTACTTCTTGCCTCTAACTCGATTTCAACATAGCCATTGCATTCTTCGAGCTCACCATCAGTGATACCTGACAAGGGAAGGATCCCAAGTCGAAGTGGCCATTTGTAATGGGACCTATACTGCTA